CTGAGTGCTGCCTGACAAGCCCTCCTTTTCCATGGATATGAAATGAGTGTCTCCAAGGCAGGTCTTTATAGCTCAAAGGCAATTTAGAGACAACTCTGTCTAACTCCCTCTTTTTACTGAAAAAGAAGCAGGATCGCAGGGTGTTATGACTCTACAGGTTGCCCACATCACTAAGGGCAGAGGAAATCTAAACTGCAGGTTGCTGAATCCTTCCCATCATTTAGTAGAAACTGTGACCCCAGTAGTGTGACATGTCAGGTGAGGAGCGGGTGTCGTGGGGAGAGGGTTGGCTATTCTGGAGGAGCAATGTATGTGAAACCCTCCTGTTAGCTTCCCTAGTTACAGGCTTCCTGCCAGTTCTCCATTCTGTAAAGAGTGTGGACTTCCTTCCCTGTCCTCTCTTGATTTAACTCTTACTCTATGGGATTTTAGAATCATGGGCCTGAGAAGAAACTAAGAAGAGGCTATTGTGTGCAGTGGTTGGTGGGGAAGTGGTAGTCAGACGGACTTTGAATTGGATCCCTTCTCTGCCTGTTAACTGTTGGCACCGTGACCGTGGGCAAATGTCTAAGTATTTTTGAGCCACATCAATGTCCTTATTTTAAAAGTTAGAAAAATAAAATTAGCATTTTGGGACAGTACATGAGATAATGTATAAGACACTTATCAGGGTGCTTAGTATAGAATATTCGATAGTGGTTTCATTACACAGGTTAAAATTTTTATTGTGGAAAAATTTTTAACTTATTCAATGATAAAGAGACTAGTACAAGGAACTTCCATGTACCTACACCACGCTTCAATGATTACCAACAGATGCTAATTTTGTTTCATCTATGTACTTACTACTCCCTACACACCCCACATTTTTTGAAGCATTCATCAGACATTGTTTCAGTAAATATTTGAAACCATTTAAAATATTAACATATCAGACTTCAAAAAGCAAGTAGAAATTTTAGAAAATTACCAGTTGCATGCAGATTTCTCTGACTGTCTCATAATTTAACAAATTGTTTGAAGTCAGATCCAAAT